CACAAAGAGCACACTCGCGCGTTCATGTCAGAATCCTACCGAACACCGTGTGTTTGCAAGCATTTCAACATAAAAACATCAAAAACCCAATGCTTTTTCACAAAAATGCTTTGGGGTGTCCTGTCAGACCGTCGGGCTTCCTCCTGCCACCTCTGGCTTCCTGCGGTGTACCGGGCCATTCTCGACTCGTCTGGCAATGCGTGCGCGGCATTCAACACGCGCTCGCCAGTTCCCGTCGGCAACCGCCATCGCGGCCGCATCAGCTGACCAAACCGGCTGGCCGGTGTGACTTCGGCCCCCAGTTGTGCCAGCTTTGCTTCTTGTGTTGTGGGAGGGCGGGTGGGACTGGGCATGCCATGCTTGACTCGCTCGAGCTGGCTAGCTTGACTCCTACTCCTACTCCTACTCCTACTCTCTCTCTCCTCCTCCTCCTCCTCAGATCCTCCTCCTCCTCCTCCTCCTCTCTCCTCCTCTCCTACTCCTCCCCTCGCTCCTCCTCCCTCCTCCTCCTCCTCCTCAGCAGTGCCTCCTCATCCTCCTCCTCCTCCTCCTCCTCCTCCTCCCCTCCTCCTCCTCCTCTTCCGTGGCTGCTCTCCTCCCTCCCCTCCCTGCTTATCCTCCTCTTCCTTCTCCTCCTCCTCCCCCTCCTGCTCCTCCTCCTCCGCCTCCTGCTCCTCCTTCTCCTCCTCTTCTCCTGCTCCTCCGCCTGGCTCTTGAGGTCCCCCTCCTTCTCCTTCTCCTCCTCCACCTCCTCCACCCCTTCTCCTCCTCCTCCTCCTCCGCCTCCTCCTCTCTTCCTTCCTTCCGCCTCCTCCCCTGCCTCCTCCTCCTCCTCGTCCTCGCTCCTCCTCCTCCTCCTCCTCCTCCTCCTCCTCCGCCTCCTCCTCCCTCCCCTCCTCCTCCTCCCTCCTCCTCCTCGCTCGTCCTCTCCTCCTCCTCCTCCTCCTCCTTCTCGCTCCCCTCCTCCTCTTCCGTCCTCCTCCTCCTCCTCCTCTCCTCCGCCTCCTCCTCCTCCTCCTCCTCCTCCTCCCCTCCTCCTCCTCCTCCTCCTCCTCCTCCTCCTCCCAGAAGAGGGCGAAGCGCTACCGAATCCTCGAAGCCGAGATGCATCCGCGGCGTGAGCTCCTCCGCTGGGCCCCGCGGCGACGCGAACTCGGCACGGCCGAAGTCCGCCGCGCCGCCGGCGGCCTCCGCGCGGGAGCCTGCGCGCGGCAAAGGAGCTGGCGGCAGCGGCGGCACACCTCGGTCTGGGGCCGCCGTGTCCGGGGGGGTCGTGGTCAGCGCCAGGTCGAGATGCGTGGTTGGGTTTGGCGGCGCGCCCAAGGTGGTAGCGGGAGGGGAAAGCTTCTTAGCAGCACCCCTACCTCTTAGAAGGTGCGGGCTCTACGTCTATAGACAAGGCCCGCGCCTGGTACAAAGCAGAGGTTCGTCTAAGAAGCCTTCCTCCCTCCCCCTACCCCCCTCTGCGCGGTAAGGATGCGCGGGCCTCGGTCGCCCATGCCGAGGCTCTTCGAGTGGGACTGGCCATCGAAAATGGTTGAGGATGAACCAAAGATGACCCAAGAGGCAAGGATGCAAGGGTACTATCGAGAAGCTTGCCATTTTTACGGTCAGGATTGAGTGTAGGGTGGGGGCGCTCGTTAAGGAATGTGCCCAACAAGAGGCTTCAGACCCTGGAGGATTCATTGTCGGATGAAGGCGGCGGTGGTATTCCACAACAACTGGAAGACCCTCGATTCCTTATCCAATGATTCCTGATCCAATGCCCTCGCCGTAGCTCGCCCTGCTGCTGCTGAGCCGCACTCGCAGAGGCAGCAGACCCTGATCCTCCCTGGCATCGAAGGCGTGCTGGCCTCGCACGGCTTCGACTCGCCCGCGGCGGCCATCGAGCGGGGCCACAAGGCGGTCGCCGACAGAGACGAGAGAGTCACCCTAGCGGCGAGGGCGCGGGACGGCGCATGTTGTGAACGTGGAGAGATAAAACTCTCTCGCCTTAGGCGGGGCGGCAGCGGTTCATGGACATCCTGTGCGCCACTCGCGGACCAACCCCCCATGAACCCCGCGCCACACGTGCAGCGCGGAGGGGGGCGAACCGCTCACCCACCCTACTATCAGGGGGATGTGGAACCCCCGTGGGCGGGACGGGGTGGGAGCCCTGAGGGGCCGTATAGGCACCTCGCACCTCTTCGAGACCATCAGAAAGGCTCGTTTCGGGAAGAAGGACCATCATTGGCCTTCGCACTGATGACCTTCTTCAGCGCGGTTCGGGGCCGGATCCGCATCATAGCGGTCCTTGAAGTGGGAATCATAGCTGTCTCACCATTTTCGCGTATGCCATTACACGCGTAGCATGCTCTCCACTCGCGACGTGAACAAAAAGCATGACTGCAAGGATTTGGCGATCGTTGGCGTCTGGGGGCCCTTAAAAGGTTCGGGGACTGTCTAAAACAACTTGAAATTAATACCATTCCCTGGGAAGGGGGTCCAGACTTCTTGGGTCCACGTTATGAAAAGAAAGACATTTGCTGTGCTTCTTCAACAAACAGAAAGCTCATCGGGGGTATGGGTACGCACATCGGCCGCAGGGGTCCGGTCGGAGACGTGGGCGCAGAGGCGCAGACGGGAGAGAGGAGTGAGGAATAGGGAGGAGGGAGGGACAGAGGGAGGGAGGGACAGAGGGAGGGAGGGAGGTTGGTTGGTTGGTTGGTGCCTGGGGCGGCGAGTGCTGGCGGACCTGCGGGCACAGTATCCTTTTTGGTCGCCCTGGAGGGGGGGGGGGGGGGGCGTTCAGTGGTGTCCCGACAGTCCTGGCGCGTGCTCCCCTTGCCGTTGCAGTCCGCCAGGGGAGGAGAGCCATGGGGCGGCGACAAAGACCCCCCAGCGCATCGAAAGCCCGAGGCAGCGAGACGTCGGGGGCAGCATCGAACGAGCCCTAGAACGGCAGCAGCCATCCGGTCGATGATGACACCTTGACCCCCGCGGCCCGTCCACCAGTAGCAGCCAACAGCTGAGCAATGTGGTCGCCATCCAATGCCGTTCCACTGCCCGAAGCCCAGGACGGAGACTCCCATTCCTGAGACGCGGGGAGGAGGGGCATAGGTGGGAGGACGGAGGGGAGGAGGGAGCGAGAGAGAGATGGCAGAGAGGCACGGAGGGAAGAGCACAGGGCTGTCAATCCCTGCCCGGGGCCATCAGTCCCATGGCGAGGCCCAGCATAGTCCGGATGCTCTTTAGGTCCCTCCCCTCCGTCTACTTCGCCTCTCCTCCTACCACCGTCCTCCTCCTCCTCCCCCTCCTCCTCCTCTTCCTCCTCCTCCTCCTCCTCCTCCTCCTCCTCCTCCTCCTCCTCCTCCTCCTCCCACCTCCCTCCTCCTCACGGCGCGGGCATTCCTCCCGGCATCCTCTCCGCCTCCTCCTCCCTCCTCCTCCTCCTCCTCCTCCGCCTGCTGCCTCCCTCCTCCTCCTCCTCCTCCTCCCCTCCTCCTCCTCCTTCTCCTCCTCCCCTCCGTAGCCATTCTGGCTCATGCCAAGCTCTGCCAGCCTTCGCCATAGCCCCCTACGGACGAAGGCTGCCGGGGCGGGCTCGTGGTACGGACGAAGGCTGCCGGGGCGGGCTCGTGGTGTGCTTCGGGGGGCCGCCGCTGGGGAGTACAGAGGCCCATGCGGTCAGACGACACCGCTGGGCTCGGGGCTTCCGCTGCGCGGCGGACCGCGAGGCGGCGTGGGCGCGTCGCCTGGCAGGCGCTGAGCCGTCCCGAAGGGTCATGGAGTGGTGCCGCCCTGGGGGCCCTGGGCGATGAGGTGGCACGGAAAGCGCGCCTTGCCCGCGCGGCCTCGGTCGCCGGCTGGGCGCGAGGGCAAGGCCAGGGCAGGTGCTCATGCGCAGTTGTGCCCAGCACTTCGCCACCTTTCCAGACGACGGGGCGCCTCTGTCAGAGTGGAGGGTGGCTGAACTAGGGCCGCGCCTCGGTCCCGAGGGGCCTGGACGTGGCGGGTTTCGACGCGGAGCTGTTCGAGCGCGTCGCGGTGCAGGAGCAGGAGAAGGACTGCGCCGCCGACGTCAACGGCGACGGCGACACTCATCTGGCCCCTGTTGGCAGCGCCAGTCTGGGCTCCACGTGCGGGGCGGTGGTCTTCTCGGGCGAGTGAATCCCCCTGAAGTCGGACGCTTTCGGCATGGAGGGTGACGTTCGGCAGGCCTTCGACGGTGGCTGGCTCGACGCGGACATTGCGCAGCAGGCCGAGGCCGAGTGCAGCTCGGGCGTCGATGGTGCCGCAGTTGGTTGTCATGAGCGCGATCGAGACAAGTTGGAGGCTGAGGATCGGCAGGATGCGTGCCAGGAGGGCCTACCTGGAGTCAGCGCCGTCCCAGGTGCCGCTCATCGTGCCGTTGCTGCTTACCTTCGCGTTCTTGCTCCTCGTGCATCTGGCGGCGGCTACGCTGGCCCTCGTGGAGCTGGAGGGCGTCGAGAGCGAGGAAGGGCCAGCGGGACGGACGCCAGCGAGTTCGCCGCGTTCCAAGTTCCGCAGGCGGTGGCGGTGGCGTCACGGGCTCGTGCCCCGTCGGGCGGGGGCGCACCACTGCCTAATGTTCCTCCTGCCGCCGAGGTCGGTGCTGAACCAGCGCCTCTGGGAGCCAGCCTACGAGGAAGACCACGACGGCGAATTGAGCGCGTGACCAGCACAGGACTCCGGATCGCCTCACTCTGCCTTAGGCTAACCCCGCGCCTGTGCTGTGCTCTGTGTGCTGATCTCGGTGGTCCTACAAGGAGTCTTGCCGCATTGCACCGTGTCGAATCCTCTTGGGTCCTGGGCGTCCTGGGTCTCCTGGGGTCTTCTGGGGGTGGCTTCCGCGGGGCTCCTTCGGGCCTTCCCCGCGGGGTTGGGGCGCGCGCCCTCCGAGATGCCCCCCCTGGGTCTAGGATGGCGCACAGGGTGAAAAAAACAAAAGCACACCTGCGTGGGCGGCCCGGGAGGGGGAAGGAGGGGACGGGGACGGA